TCAACATTCCCCAAGCATTTGATATAGATGTACAGAGGGCCCTTCTACACAGCCATATAAACCAGAATATCTATTATTATTATTATTATTATTATTATTATTATTATTATTATTATTATTATTATTATTATTATTTACTGTATTTGTATACCGCCTTTCTCAGCCTGTAGGTGACTCAAGGCGGTTTTCGGCGACTCAAGGAAGATAATTCACAATATCTGCTTTGAACTGGGTTATCTCAGTCCACACTGCCATATAATCCAGTTCAATGTGCCATGTAGTCCAATCCCATTCTGCCATGCAGGAAGACTCAATCAACAACAACAACAACAATACTTTATATTCCACCCTTCTCACCCCGAATGGGACTCAGAGCGGATCACAGTACACATACACGGCAAACATTCACTGCCGCTTTGTATAGACAATACACAGTCAGACAGAACAGAAGGAGGTGCCATGGAAGGTTAGGCTTGAGTCCAGGGGGTACTGTTGCTCTATCCTTTATGACGAAGAGCCGTCAGGACTTCTTCCTTCCTTTTGGTCGCCCAGCATTTTCTGATCTTTCTTTATGGCATCGTAAAACACCTCTCCCGCTTTTAGCGGTACCTGATTTCTTTAATCACAGCTAAAGCTGTTTTTGAATTGCTTAGGTAAACAATGAGCTAGGCCGACAGTTGGCAGCTCACGCCAACTCGGGGCTTCGAACTTGCAACCTTTTTGGTTGATAGATCTTATAATTGCTGATGATTTACCAGCTGTGCTAAACCTCCGAGGCAAGAATACATAACCGGCTACATTAAAAGAGAGTGAGAAATAAGGAAGACTACAAAAAAAAATTAAAAGCAGGAAGGAAAAGGGATACTGTTGGTATTTGTGTGTCTCTTTACAAAAAGATAATGGGGAAGATTTGGAAAAGGGTTGGTCAAAAGAGAAGCAAAACATAGCATGGAAAGAGAAATGGGTATTTGAGATCTAAATCTTCAACTCAGTCAAAGGCAAGAAAAAATAGGAAAAATAGACTAACTTTGAAGACATCTCTCTCTCTCATTCTAGAACACATCATGATAAACTAGTCACCAGTCATACAAGGAAAGCAAGCTGTTTGCTGTCCAAGCTAAAAACCCAACTGTGTGTTGCATTTCTCTACCCCACCCTTCCACTGACTCAGAGAAGCAGTACAGCTTTAAAGCAAGGGTGTAGGGCTGATTCAGCTAAGAGAGAGAAGGCCACCAAGGGAATCCCACCTAAGAACAGGGGTTTAAATCTGGATTTTCTCACCTGTGAGCCAAAAGCAGTAGTCACTGCACCATGGCTTCCTCAACTCTGAATTCATTCTGGCCATAGATGTAGAACCCAACTAGCCATTCAATATCTTTTGTATTGTCAAAGACTTTTATGGCCACAATCATTGGGTTGTTGTGAGTTTTCCGAGCTGTATGGCCATGTTGCAGAAGCATTCCCTCCTGACATTTCACCTGCATTTATGGTAAGCATTCTCAGAGGTTTTAAGGTCTGTTAGAAACTAGGCAAGTGGGGTTTATATATCTCTGGAATGTCCAGGGTCGGAGAAATAGCTCTTGTCTGCTTGAGGATGCCTGCCATAGATGTGGACAAAATGTCAGGAGAGAATGCTTCTGGAACATGGTAATACATCCCAGAAAACTAACAGCAACTGTGGAAGAAAGAACTCTTGTCTGTTTGAGATAGGTATGAATGTTTCAATTGGCCACCTTGATTATTAGCATTTAATGGCATAACAGTTATATATCCACAGATATATAAACCCCATTTTCCTAGTTTCCAACAGACCTCATAACCTCTGAGGATGCCTGCCATACGTGCAGGTGAAACGTCATAAGAGAATGCTTCTGGAACATGGCCGTAGAGCTCTAAAAGTTATAAGGATCCTATAAGACTGTAGACAAGGAAGAAGTGGATGTAAAGTAAGAATCTATGATATCTTTCTATGTAACATTTAGATAGTAGACTGTGACCCCTTAATAGAAATATATTATGAGATAAAGGATTATAGAACATTAATAGATAGAAAGTATTGCACTATATGCAACAAACACTTGCAAATGTATGTTTACTTAAATAAAATAAAAATAAAAATTTTAAAAAAACTCACAACCCAATATATTTTGTGCTGAAACAACAGAACTGGGGCCGAAAGGAGAGAGAAAGAAACCCCAAGGTTGAAAAACACTGCTGCAATAGCTATCACAAGTGTCTCAGAAAGGAAATTGAGTAAATAACACTGCAATCTTAAGCACATCTGTGTCTGATGTAGCATAGAGAAAGCACCACTCAATTTAATGGGTCTCATGCCTGACTCAACATGCTTGGAGTGGTATAAAATCCATGTAAACAAGCATCTTATTGGGTTGCTATGAGTTTTGCAGGCTGTGCGGCAATATTCCAGAAGCATTCGCTCCTGATGTTTCGCCCACATCTATGGCAAGCATCCTCAGCGGTCGTGAGGTCTGTTTGAAACTAGGCAAGTGAGGTTTATATGACTGTGGAATGTCCAGGGTAGGAGAAAGAACTCTTGTCCATTTCAGGTAAGTGTGAATGTTGCAATTGGCCACCTTGATTAGCATTGAATAGCCTTCCAGCTTCAAAGCCTGGTGCAATAAATGAATGTGGATGACAGGTCTGAATGTTGCGATTGGTCACCTTGATTAGCACTAAATAGCCTTACAGCTCAAAGTCCAGGGTGGGAGAGAGAACTCTTGTCTGAGGCAAGTGTGAATGTTGCAATTGGTCACCTTGATTAGCATTAAATAGCCTTGCAGCTTCAAAGTCCAGGGTGGGAGAAAGAACTCTTGTCTGTTGGAGGTGTGAATGTTGCAATTGGTCACCTTGATTAGCATTAAATAGCCTTGCAGCTTCAAAGTCCAGGGTGGGAAAAAGAACACTTGTCTGAGACAAGTGTGAATGTTGCAATTGGTCACCTTGACTAGCATTGAACAGCCTTGCAGCTTCAAAGTCCAGGGTGGGAGAAAGAACTCTTGTATGTTGGTCACCTTGATTAGCATTACATAGCCTTGCAGCTTCGAAGTCCAGGGTGGGAGAAAGAACTCTTGTCTGATGGAGGCAAGTGTGAATGTTGCGACTGGTCACCTTGATTAGCATTAAATAGTCTTGCGGCTTCAAAGTTCAGGGTGGGAGAAAGAACTCTTGTCTGTTGGAGGCAAGTGTGAATGTGCAATTGGTCACCTTGATTAGCATTGAATAGCCTTGCAGCTTCAAAGTCCAGGGTGGGAGAAAAAACACCTGTCTGAGGCAAGTGTGAATGTTGCGATTGGTCACCTTGATTAGCACTAAATAGCCTTACAGCTCAAAGTCCAGGGTGGGAGAGAGAACTCTTGTCTGAGGCAAGTGTGAATGTTGCAATTAGTCACCTTGATTAGCATTAAATAGCCTTGCAGCTTCAAAGTCCAGGGTGGGAGAAAGAACTCTTCTATGAGGCAAGTGTGAATGTTGCAGTTGGTCACCTTGATTAGCATTGAAGAACCCTGCACTTCAAAGTCCAGGGTTGGATAAAGAAGTCTTCTCTATTTGAGGCAAGTGTGAATGTTGCGATTGGTCACCTTGATTAGCATTGAATAGCTTTGCAGCTTCAAAGTCCAGGGTGGGAGAATGAACCCTTGTGTGTTTGAGGCAAGTGTGAATGTTGCGTTTGGTCAACTTGATTAGCATTCAATAGCCTTGCAGCTAGGAGTCTCTGGTGGCGCAGTGGGTTAAACCCCTGTGCTGGCAGGACTAAAGACCGACAGGTCGCTGGTTCAAATACAGGGAGAGGCGGATGAGCTCCCTCTATCAGCTCCAGCTCCTCATGCGGGGACATGAGAGAAGCCTCCCACAAGGATGATAAAAACATCAAATCATCTGGGCGTTCCCTGGGCAACGTCCTTCCAGACAGCCAATTCTCTCACACCAGAAGCGACTTGCAGCTTCTCAAGTCGCTCCTGACACGACAAAAAGCCTTGAAGCTTCAAAGCCTGGCTGCTTCCTGCCTGGGGGAATCCTTTGTTGGGAGGTGTTAGCTGGCCATGACAGGAAACAATCAGACAAGAATTCTTTCTCCCACCCTGGACATTCCACAGATATATAAACCCCACTTGCCTAGTTTCCAACAGACCTCACAACCTCTGAGGATGCCTGCCACAAATGTGGGCGAATGGCAGGAGAGAATGCTTTTGGAACACGGCCATACAGCCCTGAAAACTCACAGCAACCCGGTGATTCCAGCCATGAAAGTGTTTGACAACACAATGAAACATCTTACTATTATTAAAGATGGATCAGTAGATTAAAGAAGGAAAAGGGAAAACATTGATGGAGAACCAGAAAGAGAAGGAAGCAACTTGTTCAAAAACATACCCCACGTTTCAGATGAAATGGACCTCAAAGGGCCTGTTTTGCAAAGCAGCCCAAAAAGGATAAGAACTGCAAATGGGGAATTTTGAATTTTAAAAAGACTTAAACCTGCAGAGCCATGGACAGTGGACACTCCCAGGGATGCAACATATACATCTCCCCACCTTTGCTGGCTCTGCTACACCGCACACCCATGTATTATTTATTTGGGAATGATTGGCGATCATTCAAAATCTCCTCTCTGTTTCCAGATCTGGAGACGACCCACGCAAGTAGACTTTTTCTTCCAGGTGGGAGAACAGATGGAAAGAAAAGGGGAGACAGAGGGATCGGAAAGGGTCAGAGAGAGAGATTAAATCGATGGATTGTGTGTGTGTAGGTCTGTGTGGGAAGGAAATCTGAAATCACACTGTCATGGCTCATCTTCCAAGCAAAGAAAACACAAGATCTGGGGAAATGTTTGGCACTGGGAAAGGAAGGTGCCAGCGATGGATCTTGGAGCCTGTGTTAAAGGGGGGTAATATCTAAGACCCCCCCCCCCAAAGTACAGATTAGCCCCTGAAGCCCATGCACTGTAAACAGGAGAAAGCTGCTCCATCAGAGAGTCTTACCTGATGCAAGGAGCAGCCTCCTAATTCTCTGCATCCTCGAGCAGCCTCCTAATTCTCTTCTAGGACCTGCTGTGCTTGCCTTCCAGGGCCATCTTCGTTTCCCCCCATGGCTTCTCCAAAAAAGAGCCCCCCCCCCCTTTTCCTGATCCCTTTGCTGCTGCTTCTGCTTCTCTGGTCCTTCGGGTCTTTGCATCCAAAAATCAAAGCATTCTTCGGGAGGGAAGAGGCAGGACCGCCAATCCGGGCCCCAGCCTCCAGGAGGGAAGATGGGCAGCTCTGCGGGGGAGATGTTTTGCCCCCTCCTTCCCTCCCCCCCAAAACCCGACCCCTGAAAGAGTCAGCCCGAGGATTGGTGGGAGGAAGGAGGGTCAGCAAAGGGCGGGGGGAACCTGGAGCCCGGAAGCCGCGCGGAGCTGATCTCCTGAAATCCCCTCCCAGATGCTCTCTCTGCCTTGGCTGGCTTGCTCTGCGAAAATCCCCAGGAGCCCCAGGGATGGGAAAAGCGGAAAGGGAAAGGAGCAGCACAGCTTGCAAGAGGAGGAGGAGGAGGAGGAGGGATACAGGGATAGAGGGAAGGAGGCGAGAGGCAAGGAGGAAGGCTCAGGCACAGAAGGGGAAAGGACTCTCGCATCTCAATGCAAGCCCACCCTACATCCCAATGCAAGCCCATCTCACATCTCAATGCAAGCCCACCCTATATCCCAATGTAAGCCCACCTTACATCTCAATGCAAGCCCACCCTACATCCCAATGCAAGCCCACTGCACATCTCAATGCAAGCCCACACTACATCCCAATGCAAGCCCACCCAACATCTCAATGCATGCCCACACTACATCCCAATGCAAGCCTACCTGACACCCCAATGCAAGCCCACCCTACATCTCAATGCAAACCCACCACACATGCCAATGTAAGCCCACCTCACATCTCAATGCAAGTCCACCTCACATCTCAATGCAAGTCCACCTCACATCTCAATGCAAGTCCACCTCACATCTCAATGCAAGTCCACCTCACATCTCAATGCAAGTCCACCTTACATCTCAATGCAAGCTCACCTCACATCTCAATGCAAGCCCACCACACATCTCAATGCAAGCCCACCTCACATCTCAATGCAAGCCCACCTCACATCTCAATGCAAGCTCACCTCACATCTCAATGCAAGTCCACCTCACATCTCAATACAAACCCACCTCACATCCCAATGCAAGCCCACACTACATCCCAATGCAAGCCCACACTATATCTCAATACAAGCCCACCCTATATCCCAATGTAAGCCCACCTCACATCTCAATGCAAGCCCACCCTACATATCAATGCAAGCCCTCGCTACGTCCCAATGCAAGCCCACTCTATATCTCAATGCAAGCCCACCTTACATCTCGATGTAAGCCCATTCCTAAAACTCTCCTGAATGCTGGAATATCCTGCCTCCCAGTGTAATGGAATCTCCTTTTCTGGAGGTTTTTAATAAGAAGAGGGATGTGCCATCTGTCCTGGAGGCTTTGATTGATTGTGTGCTCCTGCCTGGCAGAAGGTGGTTTGACTAGATGGCCCTTGTAGTCTCATCCAACTCTATAGTGCTATGAGTCTACCTTTACTTTGGCATCCAGGGGCAGTTCACTGTTCCTCCGGTTGGCTCAAGATATTCTGCTGCTTGAGGCACAGCAAGCAATGTGTATTCTAAGTATGGAAGGGAGGTATGCACACTGCCCACATAATGGTGCTTTCTCACTGTAGAAATCTTGCATTGGTATCACTTTAATTGCCATGTCTCAATGCTATGGAATCGTGGGAGTTGTAGTTCACTGAGGCACCAGCACTCTTCGGCGGTGAAGGTGAAAAACCCTGTAAAATAACAACTCTTATGATTCCATAGCATGGAGATGTGGCAGTGAAATTGGTGCCAAACTGCATTGCTTCTATGGCACAAGCCTTCCTTAGGGGTGTGACTTCCTTGCTTGAGTCTATCCATCTGTAATGCAATCTTCCTCCTTTTCTACTACTTTCTATCTCCAGTGAGTCTTGTCTTCACCTGATATGGCCAACTTATGATAGCTTTGGTTTTAGTCATTTTGTCTTTTAGGGATGGTTCAGGCTGGATTTGCAAATAAAATATATTGACCACCATGAGAAAGGTGGAACTGAAACCCCATCATCCATATCTAACATTATCAAAAGGTTTAATAGATGGAAACATTGTCAGACTGAGTAAGGCTGACCTAAGCCTAGGGCCAAGCTTTAGCAAGGGCTGGGCTTTATCACAGCTTGTTAATCACCAGCAGCAATATGTCTTACCAATCAGAACGTTGGCAGTTCAAAGCCTGGGTTGGGGTGAGCACCCAACCTTCAGCCCAGCTTACTGTCCATCTAAGCAGTTAGAAAACAGCTGTGAACTGTGAGTAGAGAAATTGGATACCGCTGAAGTGAGGAGGTACGTATTTTATGGCGCCATAAAAGAAATATCAGAAAATGCCAGCCACCAAAGGAAGGAGGAAGTCTGTGATCAAGGCTCTTCATCATAGAGGATGGAGCAACAGCACCCCCTTGTGGCCAGAATCGAGCACAACCTCCAGGACTTCAAAGTTGGAAAAAATGCTGACATAATACCTATATCTGTTGTCTGTCCTGTCTGTTTAATGGCATTGAATGTTTACCGTGTATGTGTTCTGTGATCCGCCCTGAGTCTCCTTCGGGGTGAGAAGGGCAGGATATAAATGCTGTAAATAAATAAATAAATAAACAAATAAGCTATTCTTATCTGATAGTGCTATTGGTCAAGAATATCAGTTCCTACTGACTTCCTATTAAGTACAGAGTGTGACTTTTTGAAAAAAAATCTCTTATACTGCTTCTCAACCTGTGAGTCCCCAGGTGTTTTGATTTTCAACTCCCAGAAATACTAACAGCTGGCAAACTGGCTGGGATTTCTGGGAGTTGTAGGCCAAAACACCTGGGAACCCACAGGCTGAGAACCACTGTACAACACTGTACACTGTACAACAACTCGTAGATACACTCACAGTTTTAATTTGGGATAAAGTCAACTTCAGCCTTTATGAATGAGAGATTTCTAAGAGCCTTAGCCATCAACTACTCTTCTCAGATCTTACAAACTGTGCTATATCTTTCCTTGTTGAAGTGTTTCTCAAATTGTGCTCCTCCAGGTGTTTTGGACTTCAGCTCCCACAGTTCCTAACAGTTGGTAATCTGACTGGGATTACTGGGAGCTTAAGTCCAAAAGACTTGGAAGAGCACACTTTGAGAAACACTGCTTTATTGAATCAATTCACCCGTGGTTCTTTCTTTCTCTTTTCTTATTGTGTCCACTTTTCCTGAGCATTGCTATTTTTTTCCCCCAGGGAGTCCTGTCATCTCATGATACGTTCAAAATACAACTGCTTCAGTTTAGTAATCTTAGCTTCTAGGAAGAATTCAGGCCTGATTTACTTTCAGGTTCATTCATTTGCCTTTTGCTGGCTGACCAACCTGTAGAACTCTCAAAAAACACATTTCAGATTAGTTGGATTTCTTTCTACCAGTGCCCTTACAGAGAGGAATCCTTCCAAATAGTTCTCCTCCCTCTTCAATGACCTCTTCTCCTCCACAGATGGAATGAATTCAGGTGGTTATTGTTTTTTCTGGAGTCACTGAAATTCAAAAATCAAGTTGAAAAGTAAGGTAAAGGCATACAAGGTGCTGAATGGACAGCTCCTGGAAATTTGATCTCATGTTTACAGAGAAGCATTTCTACTAACCGGAGAGCAAATTGCCTTAGAGGTGGATTATGTTGATTTGCACCTTGCTGTTATATTCCAAGTTGTGATATAGCATTAAAGGAAACCTTTTTACCACTGTTCCTAATTATATGCCTGTGTACGTCTCTGTAGGTGATAGTCTATGGAAACCTATTGAATTACCTTGGGCTCCAACAAATTCTGCCAAGAAAACACTAAAATAGATGCACCTTAAGGTTGTCATAACTTGGAAATGACCTGAAATCACACAGCAACAAGCAATGAAAGAGAACTCGCTATAGAAGGAAGTGTGGCTTGCAATGTGGGCTGTTCCTTAAATGCATCCTATATTCATTTTTTTTCAGTGATGTTCTAAAACAAAACCCCAGCAGATACTAAGGGCCCACTGTCATATATATCTGTGTGTGAGAATTAACTGACATGCATCTTCACATTATGAATATATCCAGTGTTGGAGCATGTAAGGAATCAGTGAGTGTGTGTGTGTTAACTACAAAATAAGATGCATGAAGCTGATTGGTTGGGCTATGCCCAGGGAGCAGGCTGAGTCTGGGACTTTTGGATACTGTTACATTTTTCAGGCTTGAGCTATGCAGATGCTTGCAGAGAAGGAGAGAGAAGCAGAGAGTTTGAAGTGTGCCTTTGCTTCATAAACTGCTGAAGGAGTTTATCCACATGGACAAAGAAAGACAATTTTAAATCTCTCATAAAAGAACATTATGTGAGTTGATACAACTGATCACATTGTATACATGTTGTTCTGAACTACAAAGAGTAACCTACTTGTTCTTTATTGTTCATCTGCGTGGCATATTTTCTTTCTTTGGTGAGGCAGTGCATGGGCTGATCAAATGTGAACTACACGTGGTTTATCTTTACATTACGCCACACCAAGGCCCTCCGTAACCTCCTTTTAGGAACTATTTAGTGCAGTGGTTCTTAACCTGTGGTCCGAAGAAAACCAGTGGTCCACAAGAATTAAAATATGGTCCATGGCCTCACCATTACTACACCACTGCAACGAGAGTGACTGGTCTTGCGAAACCCTCTTATAGTGCTGATGCTTATTAAATATGCTTTTCTGTTGGTGAGCAGATGGTGACTACTGGATGAATTATGTTCCGTATCAGAAACTAGAGCTGATGTGGTCTATCCAATGCAATTTTCTGAATCAGCGCCCCAAATAACCAAACCGAATCTAAAGTTGACCAAAAACTGATTCATAATCCTTTTGGTAATAATGTTGGAGAGTGGTCCCTGGTCAAAATGGTCCCTGGTCAAAAAAAGGTTGGGACCCACTGATATAGAGTAATGACATCTTCTTCCTCATGCAGAGAAATAAACCATCTGTACAGTTGGCCCTCCACATTTGCGGGTTTCATGTTTATGGATTTTATTATTATTAATAGGTTTATTTGATTAATATGTTCTAAGAGTTTCGAGATTCCCCAAGGCAACTCTACATTCAACTTCTTTTGGTTATGCTGGAGGACCTAGAAATCCTCTCCTGCTAGTATGCCTTTAAATATTTCAAAACCTTTCCCTTTCTACATAGTGATATATATGTGTGTGTATTTATATGTATATATAGTGCCAGAAGCAACTTGAGAAACTGCAAGTCACTTCTGGGGTGAGAGAATTGGCTGTCTGCAAAGACATTGCCCAGGGGATGCCTTGATGTTTTAATGTTTTACCATCCTTGTCGGAGGCTTCTCTCATGTCCCTGCATGGAAAGCTGGAGCTGACAGAGGGAGCTCATCCACATTCTCCCCGGAATCGAGCCTCCAACCTGATTATAAAGAAAAGAGTGGGAGGAAGGAACCTATACATTTATAATTTGGTGCCAAGTTTTATTAAACCCCCCTTGCCCCCATGTGGGATTTTTTCAGCCTGAAGCAGATGAGAGCCACCCATGCTGAACGCTCCAGTCCAGATCGGGGACACAGGCATTTACTTACCTTACAGTTCTTTCAAAAAAAGGTTATCTTTAGCTGCAGGCGACATGTTCAATGTAGCATGTAGTTTGACCCCAATATAACTGGATTTCAGCAGAAAAGCATTCCCCTTAGGAATTGGAATTAATCATATGAACTTGATGAAAGACTATTTGTTGAAACAGATGTGTACCAATATTCTCTAGTTGCATTCAGGGCTGAATATATTCCATTCTACATGTATGACGTTACATTTATCTTTGCTTGGTTGCTGACAATAAAAATGTTTTTAATGTAATTGGAACCTTGCATTGCGTTATTGAACTCTATCGAAAGGCTAGCTTCCTCTTAAGGTGCTTTAGTTGGATTCACCCCTTTTCATTTCATGCTTTTGAATCTGCCCAGTAGATACAGGAGTGAGCAAAGTGTGGTCATGTGGTTACATGTAGCTCCCAAGGATGACTTCGTGACACTTGGCTTTCCAGATTCCTAGAACAACTTTGTTTTCTGTCAGGAAAACAGTATGAATTGACGAAAGCTTTCATGGCCGGAATCACTGGGATGTTGTAGGTTTTTCAGGCTGTATGGCCATTTTCTAGAAGACCTCACAACCTCTGAGGATACCTGCCATAGATGCAGGCAAAACGTCAGGAGAGAATGCTTTTAGAACATGGACATACAGCCCGAAAAACCTACAACCCAGTATGAATTAATTCTCCCATTTGGAATGGACAATATCAGGTTGCTGTGAGTTTTCCGGGCTGCATGGCCATGTTCCAAAAGTATTCTCCTGATGTTTTGCCTACCTCTACGGCAGGCATCCTCAGAGGTTGAGGGGTCTGTTGGAAACAAGGCAAGTGGGGTTTATATCTGTAGAATGTCTAGGGTGGGAGTAAGAGCTCCTTGTCTGCTTGAGGTACGTGTGAATTTTGCAATTGGCCACCTTGATTTAATGGCCTGTAAAGGCCTTGCCAGTTGCTGCCTGGGGGAATCCTTTGTTGGGAGGTGTTAGCTGGACCTGATTAATTCTTGTCTGGAATTCCCCTGCTTTATGAGTCATGCTCTTTATTTACTGTTCTGATTTTAGTTTGTTTGTTTTTTTTTAAAAAAATCGGTAGCCAGATTTTGTTCATTTTCATGGTTTCCTCCTTTCTGTTGAAATTGTCCACGATTGCGGATTTCAATGGTTTCCCTGTGTAGTCTGATATGATAGTTATTAGAGTGGTCCAACAGACCCCTCAACCTCTGAGGATGCCTGCCACAGATCTGGGCAAAACATCAGGAGAGAATGCTTCTGGAACATGGCCATACAGGTCATAAAACTCAGAAAATTCCGGCCATGAAAGGCCATTTGCATTCTGTTAATTCAAGCAAGAGCCGGAGAATTCAGCAGAATCTTGTCATTCTCAGTAGGCTCAGGCAAATGCAAACTGCTGCAGCCCCTCCTAGCTTGCATATTCTTCCTGATACCTTTTGCCATCTTGACCACCATCTGATATCGCTTGGCCCGACAGGTCTTTGTTTCCATCTGTGAAATGTTGGGAACATATACAGCAGATATGTTCCTTCTTCATAGCTTGCAGGGCTGACTGTACTTATTAATATGGGGAGAAAAGTGGTACACATACATTTTCCAAAACCAGAAGTCAACTTTTTGCCAAATCTATTTTTACATAGCCAGTCAATGCAGCCATCAGAGGGCTTCAGGAGCAGAAAAAAAGTCCTCTTCGCCTGCCACACTGACCCACTTCTGCTGTGATAATGCCTTTGTTCCAAAAAATATAAAACTAGCACAAAGTAAGGTAAGGTAAAGGTTTCACCTTGATGTTAAGTCTAGTCATGTCCAACTCTGCGGGATGGTGATCATCTCAATTTCTAAGCTGAAGAGCCAGCATTGTCCATTGATGCCTCCAAGGTCATGTGGCTAGCATAACTGCATGGAGCTCCATTACCTTCCCGCCGAAGTGGTACCTATTGATCTACTCATATTGGCATGTTTTCGAGCTGCTAGGTCGGAAGAAGCTGGGGCTAACAGTGGGAGTTCACCCTGTTCACCGGATCGAACCACCGACCTTTCAGTCAACAAGTTTAGCAGATCAGTGGTTCAACTCACTGTGCCACTGGAGTCTCCTACAAAGTGGCTTAATGTAAAACTGGGGTGTGAGAGATTTGGAACCTTTCTCCTCAAATTCCATATTGCATACATAAGGTAAGATGTTATTTTGCATTACTTTACCTTACACACTATGGACCAGTGACAAAGTTGTACACATTAATTCTAGAACAGCAAATCAATCCAAGAAACATCTCTCCTTTCCATTGTTTCATCTAATGGTTGGTGATGACTTGAAGTATCCTTTCAAAATAATAATAATAATAATAATAATAATAATAATAACCAGTCCACATCACCATGAAAAGAGGACTTTTATATTTGAATCCTCACCAACCGGTTACATCCTAGCCATCCATCCAAAATTAACATCCCTGCCCTTCTGTAAGGGTTGCCGTGAAGAATATCCCAAACAGCGGCAACAGTGGATATCCATGCAAAGTGCCTTCCGCTCAGGAGAACAGAGCAATGTTGGAAAAACTGAACAGGGTGGAAACAAAGACCTGCAGTTTATCTGATATGATCGGATGATAGGACAATCGGAATACAAAACCAGGAACAATACGTACATACATACATACAGATATATATATATTATATACATACACTTTTATACCTGTGTAAAGGAGATCAAATTAAAAATTTAAGATGATTTCTTTTAAAACACTTTTCGGCAGAACATATCTCCCTTTGCATAAAAAAAAATATTCTGACCTGGCACACAGTTACTGTTTACAGTACATTGTACGTCTCTGGCACCACGGCTTCGGTGCAAAGCTATTCCATTGGCTATAACCTGGGATGCTATGTGTGGTTGTCTGTGTTAAGGTAATGTGTTTTTTTTAATGGATTTTTTTCTGACCCTTGGGGAAAGGAGATTTCCACAATGTCATCCACTCCTTTCCTGCATCTCTGGCTACTGATAATAGCCAGGAACTTCTGCATTCTGTGGGTATAACAGCACATTAGAAAATGAATACAGCAAACCAAAAACTTACGCCCCAACCTTCTGGATCGCATCATGGATACAGGTGAGACCTTTTGCAAACCCTTCCAACACAAAGAGTTCAGTCATTTGTATCCAAGGCATGTATTTATGGGCATTGATGTGCTTACCTCCTGAAGCGTGAGCTTCTAAGTACTATATATATGTGATGGCGCATACAATCTGACAACTGCAAACAGGTTTTCCAGTTCTAGACCAAACGGTCTTGAGCATTTTAATTCTGGATGACCAGATATGTGGAGCAGAAGCTGCACTCCATTCATAAGCATGCCCTGAAAACAAGTTACCATTTGTTCCATCTTTAGTTGCTCTTGGGAGCATAAAGATAGTTACACAGGTATGACCTGCGGTCTTAGGTTTGCATCCTGTACATCATTGCCATGTATGAAAAATGCTTGACAGTTTTCATTGCCTCTTAATCCAGCAAACCTGGTGAAACGAACAAGGAATGCCAAGTTACAAAATTATGTATGAATCTACCCTTTGAGAATTTATATATCCTTATTTTTGGTCTGAATGTTTTAGGGAAAGGAATGGAAGAATGAGAGAAAGATGGTCCACCTTTTCAAATACAGTAGAGTCTCGCTTATCCAACCTTCACGCATCCAAAGTTCTGTATCCAATGCAGTCTGCCTCCTGCCCAGATCCACAGCTGTTTCAATACATTGCAATGTTTTGGTGCTAAATTTGTAAATACAGTAATTACATAACGTTTCCGTGTACTGAACGGCTTTTTCTGTCAATTTGTTTTAAAACATGGTATTTTGGTGCTGAATTTGTAAAATCATAATGTAATTTGATGTTTAATAGGCTTTTCCTTAATCCCTCCTTATTATCCAACATTTTAGCTTATCCAACGTTGTGTCGGCCCGTTTATGTTGGATAAGTGAGACTCTACGGTACCTCCCAATCCATTGAGAAGCCCTGAAGCAGGTATCAGAATCACAGCAAGAAATGCTATGATTATGAAGGGATATCATATACCCCAAAAAATAAAGAACAAGAATATAAAGTTAAATTGAGGGAAACAGTCCCTTTCTTACTCAAGTAGAAACTATGGAAGAAGGGGGGAAGCGGTAGGCATTTCCACTCTCGCAACAAATTCCAGTTTACAAATGAAAGCCAAAAGTAGGTTCATTCTTGACAGAATACTGCTTTTAAATAATACTAACGCTACTAATAATAATTTACAGGGTTTTCAAACAGCATTATTTTGGCTCCTTTTGAGGGGAAAAAGGTGACTTTTCCAGCAATCACTTTACAATATACACATTTGCTTCCATTTTCCCTGGAAGATACGCAACAAGAGCTTTAGGTTCACAGTTAATAGAAGTGCCAAAAATACTGTCAAAATGTCTTACAGGTGATTCAGTAAGGAACTTCCTTCTTGGTGATATGCACCTATTTTACAGAATTCTGAGAAAATATCAAGGATTAGCGATTCCCACCAGCTGCTTAGAAAATTATCTTGCCACCCTTTCATCAAATTCTAGGCTGATTAATGTACAATGATCAAAAAGAAAAGCCTGGTTCAGAAGGCAACCATGTTAAAGAGACAAAGAAACCACACGTGGAGAAAGTAGGAGCCTCCATACAGCCTTCTTGAAAGCTTCATCCTGCCCTTTTCCATGGATAAGCTATTTTGCTCTGTAAACCCTGATTCCAGCATTACACCCTGCACACAGAAGTTGCTGTCAGTCGCAGCACTGTCCATGAAATTGATGCCTTGCGGTCAGCAGATTTCAAACACGATGGAGAGCCATACCATGGAAATGCAGCTTTATGCATGCTCTCTCTCATATTTTTTATGTTTACCGTGGCATAATGTTTTGGCTCAGGCCTGAATAATTGCATTTTCAGGCATATCAATCCTTGGTCCATGATGGTTATGGTAGATGAGGAGCAACATTCCTGGACTATTGCTCTCAGAAGATTGGAAAGAAAGAGGACCCAAAATTGTCTGATATTTTCGAAACTAAGAGCTTTTGTAAATCATTGCCAATATTAAATACTGCTTCAAACTACTGGCTATGAAGGCTATGCCATCAGATTTGCCAGTCACTGCTAAAGTGCCTTTGGGACTGATATTATCTCATACTTTTGAAAAAGGGAAAAAAGAGATGCTGGTCAAGATGTTGGGTGGGCATCCACTTGCAAGGATAATTCTGACAACATGGTGTTGCATCAGAGAGGAACAGTATACCTCTAAATAATGCCAGGTCAAAACATAAAAACTTAAATGGATGTGTGCAGTTTATGAAGCAGAGGTGGGTGTGATGTAAACATGGGATATCCACAGTGGTTCAGTGTTTTGTTCTGGAATGAAAGTGATGACCTAAAATAAGGAACACCAGGCAATAACCCTTACAAGCAATGCCCCAGAGATTGGTTCATCATGCATTTTGATTCTGTTTCTATCTTTTGCAGCCCCTTGGCTTTAGATCCCCACCTCCACATTTGCACCCTCGTGCTGACAGGAGCCAAGCAGACACAGATCAAGTCTTTGGAGAAGGGGTACCTTTGCACATTTCCTTCTATCGAATGCACGACAGCTGGCACAGAACTGCAACACTGGTTTGATCAAGTAGGTCGAGAGATGCCACTGGAGAAAGTGGGTTCCCCGCTCAGTTTCATGTTTTCTCAAAGCTCTGGCTTCAACTCCTGGCTACAGTCACCTTGCCATGCTTACTCATGACTCTTAGGTTTAAATATTCAACTCCCGCCCTGTTTGTAAACCTCCTGAGTATTATCCCCAGCCCCCCATTTTTCCAGGACAACATTAATAAAATGCAACGAGGAGGAAAAACGAGGCAGATGTTCTTTTCCTGATGTAAAAAGTCAGCCATTGTGTCTTTTCAGATGCCACCTGGGCTTTCTGGAGGTCATGCCTCTTTTGAGTCCCCAGAGATGGAAGCCAGCAAAATCTCCTACTGGCCCCTCTGTAAAAAATAAAATAAAATCACAGACATATTTCCCACCATCGCACTAAACAGAGAATAACGGGTTCCAAGTTGTCCAACACATGAACATTTTAAAGGCAAGATCATCCAGTTCCAAAGTCCAAAGTCTGTCCATTCCCCACCCACCCCAAAAGATTTAGGAAGCAACATGAATGAGCTGGTCTCACTTCTTGCCAGCAGAGTCCTGCTGTGTTCCAGTTTGTCGCCCGCAGACGTGAAGGGCTGAGAAAACCATGTGTAGGAGTGGCAGGCCAAGAGATCTCAGTCCTGATTCATCCTGGCTGGTTCAAGGTTCTCATCAGGCAGATGGGACAGAAGACACATAAGGTTGGACACACGGGACTGGAGCCTCCACTTCCCCACAGTCTGTCCATCCAGTTGACACAAGACGCACACTGGACACAGAAACTGACAACGATTCGCCCCCCTTGGGTTGTGCCTCTGCAGTCCACTCTGTATTTCAGCACCCCACCTGACCTTTCACCGCTTTCCTCTCTCCCCCACGTTCAACAGAAGGCAAGGCCATTGGCTACCCTTCCGCCAGTAGTTCTTCTGACTGTACTAGGTCTTATTTCCCAATTGGAGAAATAAGGGAAATCAGGCAGAGGATGGAAGAAGACTCTAGAGTGGGTGAGTGGCAGAAAAATTCTAAATATATCCTTTGCAAATAATAGTAGTAGTTAGAGAAGAAGAATTAATTGCTCTGGTTGGTTTTATATGTTTTTCTGCTCTCTTTCTCTCTGTCTCTCTCTTTTTAAGTCGGGTTGGAATTTTTCAAAGTCTGCAGCTTCGCCTCCAGTTCAGAGATCTGAAAAACACATAACAGAAAGGGGTAAGGAGAGTATCTCCGGGTAGAGAAACAGCAGGATCGGGTAGGGAGAGACAGGAGGACTCAGGCAGGAGATGCAGGCGTCTGGGCAAAAGCAAAGCAATTGACAGGCTTGTTTGTTGTTTGTTTTCGCCACAAACAGCAATGGGAAATGATTGGAGGAAGGGGTAGTGGTAAAAAAAAAATGGTGAAGAACAAGGGAAGAGACACCTGGCATCCTTGTATGGATATGAGCATCGTTAGCACAGCTTCTGAATGGTTTTGGGTTTGCAATCTGTTTCATGTAATTCTTAGTCCCTGCTGAGACAAATGTTTCTAGAAGACTCTGCTTGGCATTCTCCAGTATGTGCAGAATAAATTACACTAAATCAAAGTTGGTAAAGTCAAATACAGCTGCCTTCTTTGTCTAATCAGTTCTACTTCCAAGAGACAGACTTTTAATGACTAAGTTATCCAGGGATAATGACAACGGAAACCAACCCGATTCTATTGTCAAAAGCTTTCATGGCCAGAATCACTGGGTTGTTGTGAATTTTCCGGTGTGTATGGCCATGTTCCAGAAGCATTTTCTCCTGGCATTTCGCCTGCATCTTATGGCAGAGGTTGTAAGGCCTTGTTGGAGTTCACCCTGTGATTGTGTTTCAGGATCAGGGTGCTTTGGATGTGGGGAATGATGTAAATGAGGTTCAAGATGGCAGTGATATTGATGCAGAGAATGACAGAGAGACACCTGTTGAAAGTGCAATTTCCCATGAGAATGTTCCTACAGGGCATATGGATGATGGTTTACTCCCTGAATTGCTCCCAGAGAGTTCCCAGGATTTGGGGCTTGAAAAGAACTCAGCACCTGCAGAAACTAATGAGCATATATATAGGCGGGCAGAAATTCGTCAAATCAGACAGGCCGAGCAATGCCTTCGGCGTGCTGCCAGGCTTCAACAGAAAAAGATAAGGGCCGCTCAAGGAAAGCGAAACGAGTTTCTGAGTGCTTAAAAGTTCCAAGCATGGAAAATACAGTCAGATGAAGCATTGTTTAGAATCATGCTAAGTTCTTGTCCTTGTCTTAGAGAAGCCTTGCTTTGAAGATTCATGCTTAAAGATTTCTTGTTTCCTGGTTTGGTTTTTGTCTCTTGATTACCTGCTCATGCCTTGGGTCAACGTTCTCTAGTTCTTTGGATTTTGTTAGAGGGTTGTGTACTTTGTTTTTGGGCATTGCTGAAGTCTACCTTGGACTAATTTGTTCCTGCTTATTTTTTTTACCTTATTGGATTTACCTATTCCTTTAAAGCGTTTTTCTTTACTTTGTTGTTTTTACTTATCTTCAATAAAAGGATTGTTTTCCTATTCAACGAGTGGTGTTTTAAAATCAGAGGTTTATTCCTGTCCTGGAGTGCAACAGGTCTGTTGGAACCGAGGCCAGTGGGGTTTATGTCCAGTCCAGTGTGGAATGTCCAGGGTAGGAGAAAGAACTCTTGTCTGTTTGAGGCAAGTGTGAATGGTGCAACTGACACCTCCCAACAAAGGATTCCCCCAGGCAGTAAGCAGCCAGACCTTGATGCTACAAGGCTATTAAGTGCTAATCAAACTGGCCAATGGCAACCTTTGCACTTGCCTCAATCAGAAAAGAGTTCTTTATCCCACCATGGACCTTCCACAGATATATAAACCCCACTTGTCTAGTTTCCAACAGACCTCACAAACTCTGAGATTGCCTGCCACAGATGCAGGTGAAACGTCAGGAGAGAATGCTTCCAGAACATGGCCATACAGCCTGGAAAACACACAGCAACCCAACCCCTGATTCTTTTGGATTCCACAAATGTAAAGTGTAAATATGAGGCTGAAAGAGTAGCGGATAAAACTAGGATTTCTAAATTATCTTTTCCTGGAAGTGCTCTTGTAAATAATATCAGGCTGTTAAATCACACAAGAAGGATACAATTAGATGTCCAAAACGTCTTCAAATTAATGGCATCACTTGAGGGAATCACAGAAAAACAGAGGCCAACACCCAAACTGAGTTTACTGGAACAGGCCAAGAGGCAGGCAGGCTTTCTCGTTCCAGTTAGAAATCTCTGAAACAACCTGACATAGATATGATTACTTTAGACATGCCTCTAAATAGTTTCCTAGAGCAAAGCCATCACAAAACAGATAAATCTAACTATTCCAAATTGAGATAGACAGGAATGTAAGCTTGAAGGTCTAGGAATGAAAGGACCTCCCTTTTTAACAAATCAACAGAGGCAAGTTTCATGACCAATTGTCACTGTGACTGACTACACTTTTCCGGGCATCTTTTTTGACCTACAAAGCTTTTACTTAGCATTGATCTCTCCATACATCCTATCACAATCTGTAAGATCTCTCTTGAAACTATTGGCTATGCTGTTATTTCGTGGTTATGCATAGAATAGCCATGAAATAACAGCATAGAAACAGTTTTTCTTTGAACCCTGATATTCCTATGCCTGGAATAGTAGCAATTTTGTGAGCAGTTTCCAAACATCCTTCTCTTTGTAGACTTGAGAACAGGTATTAATTCTGTGAAAAGGGTTCGGATATTTTCTAACTATTTTTATGACATTTCTGTAAAATTGATGGCTATGTATTTAAATCAATAAATAAACTGATTTACTGTTGCAACAGCAGCACATTAAACTGCTGATTTGCTGAACTTGCTGACCGAAAGGTCAGAGATTTGAATCTGGGGAGCGGCGTGAGCTCCCACTGTTAGCCTCAGCTCCTGCCAACCTGGCAGCTTGAAAACATGCAAATGTGAGTAGAGCAATAGGTTCCGCTTCTGTGGGAAGGTATCGACGTTCCATGCAGTCATGCTGGCCACATGACCTTGGAGGTGTCTATGGTCAACGCCAGCTCTTTGGCTTAGAAATGGACCAACCCCAGAGTTGGACATGACTAGACTTAATGTCAGGGGAAACCTTTACCTTTACCAACTGTTACAACAGGGTTAAAATGTGTGACTATTTGGAAGTTGATAGACTACAGCCCCATCTACACTGCTATGTAATTCAGTTTCATAATACAGTTTATCTGGATTATGAAACTGACAATGCAGTTAAATTATATCATGAAACTCCATTGTATGGCAGTATATTTATGACCCCATTCCATTACGAGTTTCTCCCCCACAAACAATCTGCTCCATCCCTATCCCATCCTGATTTTAGGATTTTTAGTATCTTAGTTTTTATCTTGCACATGCAGCCCACTCATTGTTATGTTATGTTATGTTATTTTACTGTGTATGATTCTGCTTTATCGTCTTTGTACTCATGTGTTGTATGTATTTTACTGTGTTGTTATTGTGTTTTGATTTTTGATTTTATTGTAATATGCTGTTGGGCTTGGCCTCATGTAAGCCGCCCCGAGACTCCATTGGGGAGATGGTGGCAGGGTATTAAATAAAGTGTTTATTATTATTATTATTATTATTATTATTATTATTATTATTAGATGGTGTCTACACTACCTTAATGATTTGCCCTATTGTTTGGAACTCATGGGACTTTCAGTCCCAGAACATTTGGAAGTCCAAAAAAAATCATGTTAGAACTTGGGAGATATAGAATTAACCCACAGACCAATTCCATTGGAAATAGTTTTTCTAGTATATATTTGTAAAACTGAAAGACTTCACTGTCATTTCCTCCAACTTCTGAATGAAGAAACAGAAAATAAAGGATTCCCCTAGACATTAAGTCTAACTGTGTCCGACTCTGGGGGAGGGGTGCTCATCTCAATTTCTAAATCAAAGAGTCAGTGTTGTCCGTAGATGCCTCCTAGATCATGTGGCCACCATGACTGCATGGAACGCTGTTACCTTCCAGTTGAAGCGGCATCTATTGATCTACTCACATTTGCATGTTTTCTAACTGCTAGGTTGGCAGAAACTGGGGCTCACAGTGGGAGCTCACCTTGCTACCCAGATTCGAACCACCAACCTTTCGGTCAGCAAGTTCAGCAGCTCAGTGGTTTAGCCCGCTGTCCGACCAGGGGATTAGTATATACAAGCAATTATAAATAGTATAAACAAGCAATTACGAGGCCTAAATGGGGCAAGGTGGAAATATTAGCCTGGAGCCTGTATGAGACACAAGTAAAGGAAAAATCATTGGGGGTGGTGTGATGATGAATAGAAAATGAGAGTGAACACACATGTCTAGAGAAAGCAAATCATAGTTGAAGTTGTCATTCTCTTGTTTGGATCAAAGTGAAAAGTACAAGTTCTTTGGATGTCAGAAAACAATTGAACCATTCAAAAGATTATATTGTTAAGGGGGAAAAAAGAGCTTGATTTGTCTTCAAAGACACTACAAGAATGTACCCTTAAGATGTTTTTTTGTAAAATTGGGAAGTTCAAACATAGGGCCCTTCCACACAGCCATATAACCCAGAATATCAAGGCAGAAAATCCCAAAATATCTGCTTTGAACTAGGTTACTTGAGTCCACACTGCCATATGTTCCAATTCAAATTAGAAAATGTGGGGTTTTATTCAGCTGTGTGGAAGGGGCCTTCGTTAATTTCCTAAATCTGTTAAGGGCAGCGGTCCATGACTTAAGGGTGCTGAGAGAAGACCTCTCCTTACTTATTTAGGGTTTTATAGCCTTAAAAACTTTGGCATAGACACTGAGAACTGGGAAGCCCTGGCCCTTGAGCGCTCCAGCTGGAGGTCAGCTGTGACCAGCAGTGCTGAAGCGGCACGAATGGAGGGCAAAAGAGAGAAATGTGCCAAGAGGAAGGCGTGTCAAGCCAACCCCGACTGGGACCGCCTTCCACCTGGAAATCAATGCTCTCACTGCGGGAGAACATGCAGATAGATCAAGAACAGGGCTCCACAGTCAGCCAGTACACCGATTTTGGAAGACAATCCTACTCGGACAATGAGGGATCGCCTAAGTAAGCAAGTCTTGCATTGTCAATAGTGCCCAGCAGAGGGAACTATAGTAAAAAACCAGGTATGAGAGCATCCTATATGCTCACAGAGAGGGATTTTCTCTTTCTACACTGTTTGGAGATTAGATATTCCCAGCAGAGAAACCCAGGTGCATTCACACAAACACACATACACAAACATTGAACACAGACAAGCATAACAAATCTGACATGATCCACTGCCTGATGTAGGATCCAGATATCGCAGGAATCCACCATGGCCCAGCCAAAATAGGTAAGTACATTTGACAATGAGATCTTTTGGAAGGTCAAACAAAAGCTGGTGCCTAGTACAGAATCTCATGTGTGTGATGTTTGTGATGAAGAGACAAAAATTCAATAAAATGTTCATAAGCCTAGAAAGCACTACTGAAGCCTAAACAGCTTACTATAGGATTTGGTTTGAGGAGATGTGGAATCTACTATACTTCTTACCGACAGGATATGAGGAAGGTATAGCATAGGCTTTAAAAAAAGGCATAAAAATCCACTTTGGCCTGCTGGAGGATTCAACAGCACTCAGTTAAAGGACCAGCAGTATCTAAATGCAGGATCCCTTTTGATATGGCAATGTATATGGGGTCCTTTTACATTTGAGATGCAATTGAATCTGGGATTCAAAAGGATTCAAGTTTTTCCCCTCTGCCCTCATACGCAGCAGGATTTACTGCCCAAAAATGGTCCAGTGTTTGACACGAGCTTTTACAAAACCCAGCCATTGATATCTAAAGTTCAGAAAGGTTGATGTGTCCCTCCCTTCCTCCATTTCTTGTCCTCTGACAAGTGTGAGACAACTAGATGCTTCCAAGAGCACAGTTTCCATATGTGTCCCTGAGCTGAACCATGGCCTCCCCAGTAAGAACAGGCCCTTTCTTTTTCCTTCTTTCATTTTCTCATTCTTTCTTTCATTCTTTCTTTCCTGCCTTCCTTCCTTCCTTATTTGGGGCTCAAGGCAAGCCCCCAGCGCTGTCCTTGATGCCCACCTTCTCTTGCAATTTGTCAACTTCTTCTTTGTGGGCCATCTCAGACTCCTCTTGGATGCGACGCTGAGCAGTCTCCTTCTTGAGGAACTCAATCTCCCTGAAAGAATAAGGAAGAGCAAAAAGGAAGAATTAGAGTAAGAAGTACAGAAGTCAGCCATTGAGTAGAAATGAAGAAAGATGTGGCAGAATTTACATTTTTGGATCAAACCAGGGGTCCTCAAACTAAGGCCCGGGGGCCGGATACGGCCCTCCAAGGTCATTTACCTGGCCCTCGCTCAGGGTCAACCTAAGTCTGAAATGACTTGAAAGAACACAACAACAACAATAACAACAATCCTATCTCGTCAGCCAAAAGCAGGCCCACATTTCCCATTGAAATATTAATAAATTTATATTTGTTAAAATTGTTCTTCATTTTTATTATTGTATTGTTTTAAGTATTATTATTTTTTTTGCACTACAAAGACATGTGCAGTGTGTATAGGAATTCGTTCAAGTTTTTTTTTCAAATTATAATCCGGCCCTCTAACAGTTTGAGGGACTGTGACCTGGCCCTCTGTTTAAACCCTTCGAGGACCCTTGCCTTAGAGTCTCCCAATCACATATTTTACTCTCCAGCCAGTTGTTTTAATAAAGATGGAACAATGACTGTGATGCATGTCATAGAATGACAGAATTGGAAGAGACCTCATGGGCCATCCAGTCCTACCCCCTGCCAAGAAGCAAAAAAATCGCATTCAAACACCCCCAACAAATGGCCATCCAGCCTCTGTTTAAAAGCCTCCAAAGAAGGAGCCTCCACCACACTCCAGGGCAGAGAGTTCCACTGCTGAACAGCTCTCACAGTTAGGAAGTTCTTCCTAATGTTCAGGAGGAATCTCCTTTCCTGTAGTTTGAAACCATTGTTCCGTTGCCCCCTCCTCCATATGACTTCCCCTCACATATTTATGCATGGACATCATGTCTCTTCTCAACTTTCGCTTCTGCAGGCTAAACATGCCCAGTTCTTTAATCCACTCCTCATAGGGCTTGTTCTCCAGACCCTTGATCATTTCAATCGCCCTCCTCTGGACACATTCCAGCTTGTCAACATCTCCATTCAATTGTGATGCCCAGAATTGGACACAGTATTCCAGGTGTGGTCTGACCAAGACAGAATAGACATTATACTCCTATTTATGTAGGCCAAAATCCCATTGGCTTTTTTAACTGCAGCATCACATTGTTGGCTCATGTTTAGCTTGTTGTCCACAAGCACTCCAAGATCTTTTTCACACATACTGCTATAGAGCCAGGTGTCTCATCACAAGTCAATCACACACTCTTCCCACCTTGCCAACTGCTGGCCTGTTCAATATTCAATGTACACACCCTTCTATAAGATATTATCTGCTAATCTGGCAGCCTGCTATGCAGCAAGGACTGCTAAACCTTCCTTATGAAAAAACAGGAGCTTGATGAATGGAGATCAGAGAAATATGAAGTGGCTTTGGAGAGTGAGCTCTTACTTCTGCTGATATTCTTTGATGAGTCGCTTGGCTTTGCTGTACTTCCTCTCTAGCGTCTGATATTGGGCCTGGGTCTCTTTCAAGTGTTCATCCACAGCCTGGCACAAGTTCTGGGCCTCCATCCAGTAACCTTCCAGCTTTTCCATCCGTTCCTTGTTCTCTTCTACACTCTGTTCTAGTTGGGCTTTCTCAAGACGCCAACGGGCTTTCTCTTGTTCAATGGACTGCAGCTGAGAACAGGGGAGAGCAGGGGAGAGAAGTGTTATTTATGTAATTACTTGTTAACTAACAGTTTGTGGATTTAAGTATTGTGGATTTAATTACACAAGCCAACAAATATTTTTTATCAGATGTAATTTTAGTTTCATTCTTATAGAGTTTTTTATTTGCTGAATTCAGATCTGTGTTTATTTTTTTTTCTCACATGCAATTTTTGCAGTGAGAATAATAATAATAATAATAATAATAATAATAATAATAATAATAATTTTTATTTATACCCCGCCACCATCTCCCCAATGGGGACTCGGAGCAGCTTACATGGGGCCAAGCCCAGACAACATATTACATCAAACTAAAACCAAAACATAAACAACAAGCAATATCATCAAAATTACATAAAAAAATAAACTAAATATATATATCAAAATAACATTACAATAAAAAACACAGTCGCAGTAACAGTGGGCGGGCCACATGTACAGGATAAAATGTTAAAAACTCTAATGAGATAAAATAGGAGCAAGTTAATAGAATAATTAATTAATTTAGGCACTGATATCAACAGAATCTAATTGATAACACTGCATATATGCATTAATTATTCCATTAGCCTCATAGCAAAAACTACACGTGATAGAGAAAAAATAAACACAGATCTGAAATCAGCGCAAAGAACCTCTATAATGACCTATAATTATATCTAATGAAAAATACTTGTTAGCTTGTGTTACACAAATACAATGTGAAATGTGCAGACTTTACAGTATTCTGCTATAATGTACCATTCCTCAAATTTAAAAAGTTGACATGATTGGAAAAAACTTAAAGACATACTTAAAAGCAGCATAAAAATTTGATTTAAACTGTGCTATTCTCATTTCTGATGATTACAAAAAGTTTTATTTTGTTGGTTTGTATTATTTCTGGATTTTATTATTATGGTCTTCCTAGAAACCCTCTAGTATGAGACCTCCCGTGAAGGTGATTGAAAAACTAGAGATTCCTAGAGAGGTGTTCTCTCAGGTTAAAAAAGTGTGGGTTTTTCTGGTTGCGATTTCCCCATTTTCACGAGGAATATGGAAATATTAAAGTTTAGGATGAGGTTATAGGCCTCATAGTGCTGTATCAGCTTGTGCATAGCAAGTGGACACAACTGATGTACCAGCAAAAGATACAAGTGAACAACTTGTAGTTAATATCACACGAAGATTTGGTGAATCATTCCAGATACTTTTGTTGGCTTCCAATATTTTGTATCCCAAATAGCACCGAGAAGCTAAGGACTGAAGTTTGGAGAAATTATTTTTTGCAGTGCCAGAAATCCTGAAGCCAGCATGCAAACTAACCTTACCAACTGTTGCATTCCAGAACTGTCCAAAAAAGCTATTTTTCCAAGACTATCAGAGGATACTGAGGAGAACAGGGGTAAAGTAAATTCACTAATGAATTTTATGGAATGTACATGAACTTTATTGCATTTCACCCTGAAAAAGCCCAAGATGGCTTATATGAAATTTCTCAATTTTCAGCCAGCCTAAGATCATATTGAACTACAGCAGGGCTGAACCTAAATCAGGCCTGAACTGCTTGCCCAGTGGACACCAAAACTAATTAAAAATAGCTGTTCAAAGCCAGCCTAAAGGAGAAGCTCACACAGTATTTCCGGAAAATGTACTCAAGCATGGATTTTGGCAAGTCTTCAAGGGAAGGAAGGGGACTTTTCAAGGCTGCCAAAAACAATGCTTCATTGCTCCAGGACAGTCTTCATGCTTACCTTTCTTTTCAGCTGCTGTATTTCAGCCTCGGTCACAGCATGCTTGATTTGGAGCTGGCAAAGAGAAGAAAAGAGAGTTTTAGACCCTCCCCTTATTTGGATGAGAGCACAGACCCCCTAATGGAGTATGACTGTGTCTGTCTTGGTCAAAGGTTGAGCCAGATCTCTTGGAAGAGGCTTAATTTCCTTTGACGATGGCTGGGTTGAAAGAACACATTAAAAACTGATGTTTGTGGGTAGGCATAGGGTTTGCAGGTATCACTTGTTTTGCTTTGCTTTAAATATCATCTGCCATCAGTCAGAGAAGAAAACCTCACAAGTAAGTCATGCATGTTTTTGTATATGTATATGCATGTACGTATGTACGCACATACAGATGCATCTTGATTTCTTGTCAACTATAAACCTTGCATGAAAATGTAAAGTTGATGTCCATGCACTCCTTGTTACACTGTTGGGTTTCATCCCTGCACTGCACAAGTCTCTTGTGGAATCAAGTTCCCTGTCCTCAGTGAGTAGCTAGACTAGGTAAAGGTAAAGGTTTTCCCCTGACATTAAGTCCAGTTGTGTCTGACTCTGGGGGTTGGTGCTAATCTCCATTTCTAAGCCAAAGAGCCAGCGTTGTCCATAGACACCTCCAAGGTCATGTGGCTAGCATGACTGCATGGAGGGCCGTTACCTTCCTGCTGGAGCGGTGCCTATTCATCTACTCACATTTGCATGTTTTCGAACTGCTTGGTTGGCAGAAGCTGGGGCTAACAGCAGGAGCTCACACTATTCCCCGGATTCGAACTGCGACCTTTCGGTTAGCAAGTTTAGCAGCTCAGTGGTTTAACCCACTGTGCCACCGGGCCCCCCAACTAGACTAGATAGCTAGATTAGGGATAGGATTGGGCTGAGGGATTCCTCCCCCATAACCCTATGCATGTTTAACAAAAAGGGCTTGTCTTTCCTCCTCTTCCTCGCCACTGTCTCCTCCCCTTTTGAAGAGGTAGCAATGGAATCTCTGTGAGGGAACTTCCTTTTTAAAAAAGATATTTTTATTGCCATGGGTTGGCCATGTGGCCTTTTCGCCACCATTGTCTCTTCTGGCTTTTCTTCCTTTCGGTGAGGATGCACATTTTTGCCTCTCCCTTTAGGCAAAATGTAGCTGCATGGATTTTTTTTTTTTACTTTTTACCCGTTTACCTCCTTTAGAAGATGAGATGTAGTAAGCTAATTAGCTCCAAGATCTTTTTTTTTATCTAGAATGTATTTCTTTTACTTCAATAAATATTTTTGAACCTAAAGTTCTAACTCTGCAATCCTGTGCCATCCTAAGAAATTGAAGCTTATCTCAGCTCATCACATGTAAGTTTCTGCTGGTTATGAAATTTCCTTCTGGTACTCTTCTATATTTATGGTGGAATCACCCCAACTGAGGGTTATTTTTGAGCCTAACAGCTCAGATTTCCCAACAAACAACAATAGTATTTCAGAAGTGGGAATTATGTAGGAAAAAAAATAGGAATGAAAGGATGCAGATAGAAAAATAAAGATAAGACAAAAATTCAGCTCCAGGTCTCTACATATCCCAGAGGGTTGGATAAGTTCACTCGGATGTGGTGTCATTTGGAAAAAATCGTGTTTTTGCCTTCTGAAGAGATTTTTGCCATGTTTCCGTGAGGCTGTAGTTCCCTATAGTTTCAACTCACCTTGCACAACTGATTTCTGGGATGTTGAAGTGAGTCGGAACTATGATTTATTTATTTATCGTGTCAGGAGCAAACCAAAACATTTGTATTGCATTAAAAACAAACAAACAAAACACAAAGTTTGCAGACTTGGTATTCTATTAAATGTCCTTTAACCAGTAGCTGGCCACTTGGAGTCACTCTGGTGTTGCTGCAAGAAGGTCCTCCATTGTGCATGTGGCAGGGCTCAGGTTGTATTGTAGTAGGTGGTCTGTGGTTTGCTCTTCTCCACACTCGCATGTTGTGGATTCCACTTTGTGGCCCCATTTCTTAAGGTTGGCTCTGCATCTCGTGGTGCCAGAGCTCAGTCTGTTCAGCGCCTTCCAAGTCGCCCAGTTTTCTTTGTGCCCAGGGGGAGTCTCTCATTTGGTATCAGCCACTGATTGAGATTCTGGGTTTGAGCCTGCCACTTTTGGACTGTCTCTGTAGATCTTAGAAAACTATTTATTGATTTGCGTTGCTGCAAGTAGCTTCTGGAGTTAGAGAATCTGCCGTCTACAAAGATGTTGCCCAGGGGACTCCCGGATGTCTTGCAATCCTGCGGGGAGGCTTCTCTCATGTCTATGATGAAGCATTTTTAATGCAACTAAGCCTGCTGAGTGAAGGAAGGTAGATGCTTTTGAACTGTGGTGCTGGAGGAAAGTTCTGAGAGTGCCTTGGACAGCGAGAAGATCCAACCAGTCCATACTTCAAGAAATAAAGCCGGACTGCTCATTGGAGGGAAGAATAGTAGAGGCCAAGATGAAGTATTTTGTCCACATCATGAGAAGAAAGGAAAGCTTAGAGAAGAGTATGAGGCTGGGGAAAATGGAAGGAAAAAGGAAGAGGGGCCGACCAAGGGCAAGATGGATGGATGGTATCCTTGAAGTGACTGGATTGACCTTGAAGGAGCTGGGAGTGGTGACGAGATCTTGCTTGAAGGATGGAGGAGCTCTTCCATCCCAAAGACTAATATCAAGTTTAAGACCATTTCTCAAGAACCCTGTTCGAATAAAGGAAGAAGTTTTTGAAATTGATAAACCACAAGTTCCACAAATGACCATATCCCTTCTCCATTTAAACCACTGCTTGGTGGTTTATCAATTTCAAAAACTTCTTCCTTTATTCGAACAGGGTTCTTGAGAAATGGTCTTAAACTTGATATTAGTCTTTGGGATGGAAGAGCTCCTCCATCCTTCAAGCAAGATCTCTCACCCTGGACCTGTCTTCTTAACACCCTCCTGGTAGATTTCTACTTAACCTTTCTCCACTTCTTCCTCCTTCAAATTCACGATAGAGTGTCAGCAAACCAGCACTGAATTGGCTTGATTCTGGCTTCTTCAATGAAAGCTTGTTGACACAGATTCCAGGGTCAAATAGAGGCCGCTTCACACATTACAGCCAAGGAAGTGATATAATTAAATATTCAGTGCTTTCCAGCTGGTCATGTGCACATCTCTCTGTCTCCCTCTCCTTTTTTTAATTCTCCACTTATGGATTGCAGAAGCTCATGCTGAAGAGTCAAGTCCTCACAGCACATTTCTATTCTGGATCAAAAGAATGGCTAGCCACCTCATGTGTTTCAGAGGAGAATTAGGTACGCATTGAGTGTCTAATATTCCAGGAATTATATATGAAGCCACCTGGAGTGAGCCAACAAAGCGAACGGTGCTTTCTCCTGGCAGACATGAGAAGACTGTATTAGTAGAAAGTGTGTAGAGCACAGCGACAGGCCAAGTTTCACAGTGGAGCTGAGCTATAAGAGGAACAACCCAGCTATCTCAAGGACTTTGTTCTATATTTAAGACAGTCCCCTTAAAAATGGAAGGTTTTTGTCTGCCACTAGGGGCCAGCAGAGACCAGGGATGTCAATTCAGCTCAGTACAGAGGAAGCAATTTTGCTCAGTCCCATTTTTTTTCTTTGTCAGGAGCTACTTGAGAAACTCCCAAGTCGCTTCTGGTGTGAGAGAATTGGCCATCTGCAAGGATGTTGCCCAGGGGCCGCCTGGATGTTTTGATGTTTTACCATCCTTGTGGGAGGCTTCTCTCATGTCCTCGCATGGGGAGCTGGAGCTGCCAGAGGGAGCTCAATGCACTTTCCCCAGCACAAGGGTTTAACGCATTGTACCACCAGGGGCTCCTGCTCAGTCACATGCAATTGCAAGATGCCTCCTGACTTTGAGTCCTCCTCGGGGTGAGAAAAGCAGTATATAAATACTGTAAATAAATATATAAATACTGTAAATAATTGGCTGCTGGGCACAGCGTTGTAGTGGAGCCAAGTCCAACAGGTTCAATGCATTGGGACTTTGTGATTAGCAAGGAAGGTGGCATCATTTCTTTGCAAATACTTATATATTGCTGAGATCCAAAAATGTCGACGTTGGGAAACAAAATTGACACAATACATGTCTTACAAAAAAATTTTCCACATTAAAAACTAAGACTAGTTGGCATATGATAAGGAGATGATCTTTACAACTGTAATTCGCTGTCTTGAAACTTGGCAGCCTGTTTTCAGCAGATGACGAAGTGGCAGGTCTGAGTCTCAAGACAACATGGCTCAGTGAGCGTGAGATGTCACTGGATGTGAAATATGGGTGCCAACCTCTCTTGAGTTCATGTTCACAACAGTAGCCCCTCCTCTTTCCCTCAGCCATCATCCATGTTGAAATTTGCTTTCCATGACACTTTCCACATTTGTCACTTGATCGTCACATAAAGAAATGCCTCAAAATAGGAGGGATGAGCAAGCAGCAGGCCCCTTGGACACACTTTGGGATATCAAGTACACACAGTTCATATATGGCGTAATGGGTGAAACCCTTGTACCAACAGGACTGTTGACTGAAAGGTCGGCGGGTCGTATTCAGGGAGCAGGGTGAGCTCCCGTTTATCAGCTCTGGCTTCTCATGAAGGGACATGAGAGAGGTCTCCCACAGGATGGTAAAATATCCGGGCATTCCCTGGGCAATGTCCTTGCAGACAGCCAATTCTTCCACACCAGAAGTGACTTGCAGTTTCTCAAGTCACTCCTGATACAAAAAAAGTTCATATATTAAAAAGATATACTTCTTTCACGCACTGTAGCTAAAGTTCCTGAGGCAAAGAAGGGGCAGAAAAATGGAGGAAACTTCTGTGATCTCAATCGAAAGATTTCTGAGGCTTGAGGTAGAGGTGAGTGGAAAAGTATGAGGCCTCATTAAGCTTTTCAGGTATCCCTAAAAAGAAAAAGTATCCCTTATCTGGAAATCTGAAATTGTCCACATGAATGGCTGAGATAGTGACACCTTTGCTTCCTGACTGTACAGTATACACAAATTTTGAATTCTGTATTGAGACCCATCTCATTATGTATCTGCAAAGATTCCAAAATCCAAAAAACTTCTGGTTTTCTTTCAGGAAAGAGACCTTCAACATGCATTAGACACAGATCTGGCCAGTCATGCTTCATGGATATGGTATTTGTTAATCATGCATTTCTACAACTTGAGAAATAGAACTATTCCATGTATGTTTGCTTCAAAATTAAGAATAGGATTTTCATTTCCTCTGCTGTACGAACAGTACTTTTTTTTCCATGTCAGGAGCGACTTGAGAGTCTGCACCAGTTTCTCATGGAGGGACATGAGAGAAACCTTCCACAGGATGGCAAAACATCCGGGCATCCCCTGGGCAACTTCCTTGCAGATGGCTAATTCTCCCACACCAGAAGTGACTAATAGTACTGAACAAATGGTATTGACCATTTTCTGCGGCTTGCTTAGAAACAGAAAGAGGTCCCAGTACTATTTCCACCAGTCAGAGAGCAATGTGAATATATTTTGAGACAGAACACTTTTATTTCTATTTAGGACAACACTCCTCATGGATAATCTGTTTGGAAAAGATGCTGGGCCAGATACTCTATCATGGAGTTTTCTGAGACTAAGGGTGTATGAGCTTTCCAAGTTTGTCAGTGGTTTTCCATGGCTGACCAAGGATTCCAACCTTGGTCTCTAAAGGAGCAGTCTAACACTCAAATGACTACACAACACTAGATCTCAGATTATATTTACCTCCTTAAATTTATGCACCAGCTTTTCAGGGTCCATCTCTACTGGAGACAGCATATCTTCATTTTCAGCCAGCTCAAAAACCTCAATTGCCATTTCGCTGCTGGGGAACATGGGACTCATCTCCTCATCTTCATCGGTTGCATATTCACCTGTCTGCAAGTCACAAAAGAGAAAAAAAAATCTAATTTGAGTATTTTTATATTCACACATTGTGCTATATACTCTACAGCAGGGATCCTCAAACTTTTTAAACAGAGGGCCAGGTCACAGTCCTTCAAACTGTTGGAGGGCCGGATTATAATTTGAAAAAGATGAATGAATTCCTATGCATGCTGCACATATCTTATTTGTAGTGCAAAAAAAAAAAAAAACACTTAAAAACAATACAATAATTAAAATGAAGAACAATTTAACAAATATAAACTTATTAGTACTTCAATGGGAAGTGTGGGCCTGCTTTTGGTTGATGAGGCAGGATTGTTGTTGTTGTTGTTGTGGTTGTTGTGTGCTTTCAAGTAGTTTCAGACTTAGGTTGACCCTGAGCGAGGGTCGGATAAATGACCTTGGAGGGCTGTATCCAGGCCCCGGGCCTTAGTTTCAGGACCCCTGCTCTACAGAATGGAGAGCATACTGTGATTGTAAGAGACACAGTGAGAGTTACATGGGATTTTTTTTAACCTGATTTACTAAGGGTGCATCTACACTGCAGAATTAATGCCGTTTGACACCACTTTTAACTGCTATAGCTTAATGTTATGGACTCATGAGAATGGTAGCTTTACAAGGTATTCAGCCTTCTTTGCCAAAGAGCTCTAGCACCTCACCAAACTACAAATCAGAGGATTCCACAGAACTGAGCCATAGCAGTTAAAGTGATGTCAGACTCCATTAATTCTACAGTGTAGATGCACCCTCAAATGAAAAGTGGGTGAAGTAATTCATTCCTTTGCTCCTTCCTTTCTTTTGTCCATCTGACTGACTGACTGACTGACTGACTGACTGACGGACGGAGGGAGGGAAGGAAGGAAGGAAGGAAAAGAAAGAAAGACAGACAGACAAAATAGGACAGCTGAGAAGAATATTGCTTTCACCTTCCATTCGTTGGTGTCCCAAAATCATTTGTTGTCCTACTGAATGCAAAAATATGCCAAAATCTGTGGATTTTAAAATCTTGATCCACCATCTTTACAATTAGAACATTCATGAGCTGTATTTCGGGGATGCTGACTGACAACTTATAAAATCTAAAACCAAGTGAAACAATTTACTTCCTGCATTAAAACATGTAATGGAAATCATAACGGTAAATTTCTCCTGTATTGTGACCTAATTGAAGCATGGCCTCAAAGGATGTGGGAATGCATACAAGAATCTGAAATACTTTTCCAAATCTGTCACAGGTATCAGAAGGTCAGAGGAATGATGTGAGAAATGTAGACAAAGTTGGCTATTTGGAGTTGAACTCTCATAAAGGTTGGGGCAAGAAGCATGATGAACAGCAAAAGGCATGAGAAGAAATAGCTTTCAAGAGGAAATGTGGAGCTGTGTCAATGCAATTTAAAAGGAGACAGCACAGTAAAGCAGAAGTAAATCTGGAAGCCAAACCCTATAAAGAACGGCTTAGGGAGCTGGGTATGTTTAGCCTGAAGAAGAGAAAGTTAAGAGGTGACATGACAGCCATGTTTAAATATTTGAAAGTATGTTATATAAAAGAGGAATCAAATCTTGTTTTCTGTTGCTCTGAAGAATGAGGCACAGACCAACTGAAAATACTTAATCTAAACATTAGGAAGAACTTTCGGCAGTGGAATATGCTGTCTTGGAGTCTCCTTCTCTGGAAGGTTTTAAATAGACATTGGACAGTCATTTGTCAGCAATGCTATTCCTGCATGGTTGGGGACTGGACTGAATGACCCTTATAGTATCTTCCAGCTCCATAACCTTGTGATACACCTTACAAAGGGAATAGGAACTTAATTCAACAGTGTGAGAAAATGGGTTGCTGTGAGTTTTCCAGGCTGCCCGGCCATGTTCCAGAAGTATTTCACCCACATATACAGCAGGCATCCTCAGAGGTTGTGAAGTCTGTTGGAAACTAGGCAAGTGGAGTTTATATATCTGTGGAAAGTCCGGAGTGGGAGAAAGAACTCTTGTAGGTTTTTCTGTAGGCGAGGTTGTCTATTTTATCCCAATCCCGGGTCTTCACCTTTTGGCTGGTGTTGATATGGAGGTGCAACAGTTCCTTGTCTGTGTTTGCAAGTTCTTTGTGGATGGTGTGAATTCCCTCTCGTCAGAGATTGCGTTCCAGATGGTTGTAAATACAGTAAGCCTATGGTGTTTTAAAAGTGATTTTGGCTGTGACAAATTGTGAGGTAGTGTCTGTGTCCCTGCAGTGTAGAAGGAAAATCTGAAAGCACGGTAGATGTGCTTTCCTGGTCCTTAGTTATTCAAATCTCCATGTGTCTAGGGGCCCTTCCACACAGCCCTATATCCCAGAATATCAAGGCAGAAAATCCCAATTATCTGAGTGTGGACTCAGATAAAATAGTTCAAGGCAGAGATTGTGAGATTTTCTGATTTGATATTCTGGGATATAGGGCTGCGTTGAAGAGCCCTAGGAACAGTTTCTCCCTGTAGAGATGTTCAATGTGATGTAGAAGGCTTTCATGGCCGGAATGTGAGAAAAGGTTGTGAGTGTGTATGTCTGTGTGGCAGGTTCTTGTTGAAATCTAGGGCCCCATCTATACTGCCATATAATCCAGTTTCTGAATCCAGATTATCTCATTTGGACTGGATTATAAGGCAGTGTAGACTCACATAATCCAGTTCAAAACAGATATTATTATTATCTGGCTTCAGAAACTTGAGTATATGGCAGTGTAGATCCAGTCTAGGAAATCCGCCCACTAATTCTTTCCTTCCATTTTGAGCCTCCATACTGTATTCATCACCAGCCGGCCAAAAAACACCAGGGAGAAAACTCAAGCTGTGTCTTCTTTTCCTCGCAAGCAACTAGATAAATATTCTACTTACTTCTTCATCTTCTTCTGTGTACTGGGTATACCGCTGTTCCATCATTTCCCGCTGCCATCGCTCTTGTTCGAGTGTTTGCTGGATGAGTTGCGCCACCTCGCTCTGCTCTCCCGGCTTTTCCCTCCCAATCAGGAACCTAAGAGAAATGAAAGGAAACAGAATGAAGGGAAGAGTTCTTGTGTGCCTTTAAGTTGTTTCTAATTTATGGAGACTCTATCATGGGGTTTTCCTGGCTATATTTCACCAGAGGGGGTTTGCTTTTGCCTTCTTTTGAGGCTATGATTTGCCCAAGGATACCCAGGCACTTTCTATGGCTGAGCGCTGATTCGAACCCTAGTTCCTAGGATCCTATCCAGGTCTCAAACCACTACACTACACTACAGTGGCTCTCTGAAGGGAAGAGTAAGGGTCACAAAATAGTGCAGAATTTGACAACGGCCTCAGGCTGTATATACCACCCTGCACTCAAAATGATCACAGGAAGGCCAGGTTTTGTATTCTGAAAAGGCTTCAAAATATTTACTTATTTCTTCTTAGATTAGCCACTGACAAAGGTCCATTCTACCCTGCCATTGAACCCAGATTTATCAAAGCAGACAATCCTCATTATCTGCTATGAATTGGTTCATATGCGTCTACACTGCCATATAATCCAGCTCAAATCTGGATTTTACATGGAAGTGTAAAAGGGGCCAAAGAGTAGGGGATAAAACCTTCATCTTAATAAAAGCCCTCTTTGGCCACACTTTCAGAGGATTGAAATAATAGAGGATATATCCTTGTGTTTCAGCTTTAATTGAAGACAGAATATTATTTGGGCAATGGTGCTGCAAAGTATGACAGATGCCCCTTCTGCAATGCCATATAATCCAGATTATCAAAGCAGATAATCCACATTATCTGCAGCCCCTTCTACACTGCCATATAATCCAGGTTATCAAAGCAGATAATCCACATTATCTGCTTTGAACTGGATTATATGAGTCCTCACTGCCTTATAATATATACAATTAGTTTATCTACCGTTCTTTTAAAATTGTATTGTTTGGAACTCGCTACCCAGAGAGATTAGGCAAGCACCCACTCTAGCAGCCTTTAGGAAAAGCCTTAAAATCTGGCTGTTCTGGTGTGCCTTTGAGGAATAAACAACAAATTCCCATACCATGACCAGCTCAGTGCAAAATGTCCTTTGATGTACTTTATCTCATCCTTTAGTGAAATTAAACCCCGTCGCTTGTCCCATCTGAATCTCCCACTAGATACACTACTCTATTCATCCATCTCACCCAAGGTTTTTATAATTTTATCCCTTGCAATTGGCCCAGCCCACTGTGCTAAATTTTATTTATTTTATTTCATATCCTGTGTTTACCTTATTGCATTATTTGTTTTGTTTACATTTTATTTGATGTTATTATTTGTTGTATGTATTTTATTTTGCTTTATTGTAATTGCTGGGCTTGGTCTCATGTTAGCCGCCCCGAGTCCCCTTCAGGAGATGGTGGCAGGGTATAAATAAAGTTATTATTATTGTTGTTGTTGTTGTTGTTGTTGTTCTTGTTATTTTATACTACATGTGTTGATGAGGGTTGTTGTTATAATTTTATGTAACTTGTTTTATACTTTTGTACCATTTTTACCTGTTGTATGTTATATGGGCACCCTGGAGTGCTTTGTAAACTGCCCTGAGTCCCTTCGGGGAGATGGTGATGGGATATCAAAAAAGTATTATGTACTGTCGAAGGCTTTCATGGCCGGAATCACTGGGTTGTTGTAGGTTTTTTCGGGCTATATGGCCATGTTCTAGAGGTCTACAACAACGTCAGGAGAGAAAGACCTAAAAACCTGGCTCTTCTGTTGTGCTTTTGGAGAATGACCACTCAACCCAACTGGTTGTCTTAGTCTATAGCTGCCCTATAGACTAAGCATCTTCCTGCCCCTAAAATGGCTAAATCCCATGGTTCCTTCCTGTTGGGCTCCTTTCATACAAATGCACTATTATCCCTATCTCACCCAGGGTTTTAACTTTTTAACATTTTACCTCATACATTTGGCCCGCCCTCTGTGTCTGGTTTTACTATGCTATTTTATATTGTTGATTTTGTTATTTCATATTTTGTTATGATGTATTTTGTTATTGTGTGTTTATTATGTTGTATTATTTTGGGCTTGGCCTCATGTTAGCTGCCCCGAGTCCCCTTTGGGGAGATGGTGGCGGGTTATAAATAAAGTGTATTATTATTATTATTTTTATTATTATTATTATTATTATTATTATTATTATATTATTTTATTTTATTAATTGTATTTATTTATTATATTTTTTTATTATTTATTTTCTTATATTTATTTTATATTATATTCCTATATTATTATTTTCATTTGTATTATCTATTATATTTAGATATCATTGTTATTTTATTTAATATTATTTATTTTATATTTTCCTATATTATTTTGGTTTATATTATCTATTATTTTTCCTATATTATTATTTTAGTTTGTATTATCTATTATATTTACATATTATTATTTTATTTTATTTTATTTATTTTATATTTCCTATATTATTTTGATTTATATTATCTATTATTTTTCCTATATTATTATTGTAGTTTTTATCATCTATTATATTAACATATTATTTTATATTATTTATTTTATATTAATATTGTTTGTATTATCTATTATTTTTACATATTATTATTATTTTATTTAATACTAGCTTGCGGACCTGGCGGTGCCCAGGTTATTTGAGAAAAGCACTGCTTGTCTGTGCTCCAAATTTAGTCTAGATCAACTGGTTCAGTGGGTGTGGGTGAACTATAGTTCCCATTTAGTTTATACTATTTTCCTATATTATTATTTTTATTACATTATTTATTTTACTCTATTACTGGTATTATTACATTTGCATTATTTTACTCTATTATTATTTTATTACATTTATTGTTCTCTGTTATTATTATTACATTTATTGTTTTACTTTATTATTATTGTTATTACATTTATTATTTTACTCTATTATTGGTATTATGACATTTGCATTATTCTACTCTATTATTATTTTATTACATTTATTTTACTCTATTTATTATTATTATATTTATTGTTTTACTTTATTATTATTGTTATTACATTTATTATTTTACTCTGTTATTGGTATTATTACATTTGCATTATTTTACTCTATTATTTTATTACATTTATTTTATTACTTTTATTATTACTTATTATTATTACATTTATTATTTTACTTTATTATTGTTGTTATTAAATTTATTATTTTACTTTATTATTATTGGAAGGATACATAAGCACATTGACACTGAAAAAGGTTAGAATAATGGTTTAATCAAAGTTGGTCAGTCTTATTTTAAATTACTGTTTTTTTTTTTTTATTATTATTATTTTATTATTTTATTATTATTTATTTTTACATATTTATTTACTATTTTTATTTTTATTATTTTATTATTCTTAGTTGTATTATTATTATTATCATCATCATCATCATCATCATCATTAACATTATATAATCTAGTTCAAAGCAGATAATCTGGATTTTATATGGCAGTGTAGAAAGGGGCCTGCTTTGAACTGGATTATACAAATCTTCACTGCCATATTATCCAATTCAAAGCAGATAATCTGGATTTTATATAGTAGTGTAGAAGGGGCCTGTCTGTGTGTGTGTTCATGCAAGAGAAACTCTTGCAGTTTTTCTCAACTAAATTCCCACACATTGTCTATTAGCTCTGTGGTGTTATTAGTCTTCCCCAACCCAAACAAGGCTGATACTATGGGGGCAGCATATATTCTGTTCTAGCAAGCAATGCAGAGGCATAAGGGCATCATTCCAACCCCAATATAATTGTGACTATAAAATGTGAACTAACCGTCTTTCCCCTGCAGATGGAGTTTCTAATCTATTGCTTCTCAAACTATCTCATATGGAAGATTGGAATTTATTTTCCTTAATGTGCTAGGGACTGATACTATATTTGTGCCCATTAGTGACAGTCTTCTTTCATTCCTGGAAAGCTGATGCAGACTGGCAAACAGTGATTTGTGGCCCAGTACTGGCCCATGGTCTACTACATTCATCAGCCCTTTTCTAATCTATGCCATAGCTGTACAGGTTGTTTTCCACTGTAATTTGTTTGAGGTGTGTGTGTCTCAGGAAAACAAAAGTCAAAAGGATGATAGGTCCCTGGTCTTGAGTCTGGGCTAGGGTTCTCCAAATGAAAGTTGGAGCTGGCTGCTGTATCTTGGATAGAAGAGGGAATTTCACACAGCCCTATATCCCAGAATATCAAGGCAGAAAATCCCACATTATCTGAGTGTGGACTCAGACAACCCAGTTCAAAGCTGATATTGTGGGATTTTCTGCCTTGATATGCTGAGATATAGGGCCTTATAACCATTACTTTTACCTTGTTGCATGACAAGCAAAACCTGTTGAATCCCCTGTTTTACACCATCATTAAATATACAAGAATCTTCTCCAGTTTCTATCCTAAGGCCCTTCCACAGAGCCCTATATCCCAAATCATCAAGGCAGGAAATCCCACGTTATCTGCTTGGAACTGGAATATAATGCAGTGTGGACTCAGATAACGCTGTTCAAAGCAGATATTGTGGGTTATTCTGCCTTGATATTCTGGGTTATAGGGCTGTGTAGAAAGGCCCCCAGTGGCAACCTTAGCCTGGCTCTACACTGCCCCTATAGCCCAGGATCTTATCCCAGATTATCTGAGAGTGTAGACTCAAATCAGTTCAAAGCAGATAATCTGGGATCATAGCCTAGGATATAGGGTAGTACAGTATCTAGGACCCTAAGATCTTCTGGGGAGGTCCTGCTCTCGGTCCTGCCTTCTTCACAGATTCAGTTGGTGGGGACAGGAGACAGGGCCTTCTCAGTGGTGGCCCCTCGGCTGTGGAACGCCCTCCCTAGGGACATTAGATTTGCCCCCACTCTCTTAAAATTTCACAAAAACGTTAAAAGCTGGCTTTTTGAGCAAGCTTTCCGAAATGCAGTGTAGCAGACAAACTCTGATCTTCAGCATGACTGGACAATGTGATTGTATAATGATTTTAGTAATGAGACGCTGAGGTTCTATACTTTTATTGGTT